AAACAAGACTCCCAAACTTGTTTGGCCTTTGACCAGAGGTCCCATCCCAATACAACAGTGGTCTTTAAAGTCCTTATGTCCTTGAGCTTATGGCATAGTTGGCATATTGAAGAGAGAGAGAAAAGTACTTCTTTCAAGAAAATTACTATATAAGGAAATTTTCAAGAAATCAGTGATGAATGAGTGAGAGTTTTTTTTTTTTTTATTCCCTTCTTCCTCTTATTATATCACAAAAACTATTCACATTAATATCATTATACTTGCTAAATCAAACATCTTTCAAAAAATATACTCAAATAATGTTGTTGGATTTATTGTTTGTTTTAATAAAACCTTTATATATAACTTTATCATGATACTATTTTTTGCACTATTTCAAAATTTCCAAAAAATTTTTTTCAAAAAACTGAAATTAGTTTACCCCCTTCAAATGATTATCACTCTTCAATTATTTAATCAGATTTTGTTAAAATAACAAAGAAAAAACCAAACCTGTCCAAACTGGTTTTTTAATATAACAACAACAATAACAACATCACATAAAGACTCAATAAAAACTTATCAAATCAAGACTAAATTCCTGAAAATCTTCCATACTACTAAAAAAAATATTCCTACCCATCCTAACTTAGCTGTTTATGGATAGGCATAAGCCATTCATGGATCACTTTTGGTGTGGGACTACTTACTTAGTGTAATGTAGCATTAAAAGTTATATATGCAATAGGCTAAGATTAACTTCCACCAAATAAGGTGGTGTAGGATTTTTAATGTAATGACAGTACTATCATTTAGTAAATAAAGTCTTGCATTTTATGCTTATTTGCAGTAAAAAAAAAAAAGAGGAAGGAGGAGATACAAGAGAACAAAAGAAAAGAGAACTGCTATAGGCCTTTTCTTATATAACTGAATGATAAGTAAGACTTCTAAACTTGAATAAACTTCAACCAAAGGTTCTATTCCACTATATTATATATGTTGCTGAAATTCGTAAATTCTTAATACAATTATTTGATATAATTAATTAAGTTACTATTAAAACATATACTGTAAATAATTGAGTTATAATACAATTATTTTTAAGAATTTTGAAAATTGAGTCAATATCAAATAATTTATATCACATATATATATTGCACCAGTTGTTTTAAAGATTCTTGAATTCTTGAACTGGTGCTTACTTGTGATAAAGAGTATAAAATATTTTTTTTACTTAAAATTACTATAAAAGGAAAAATTTTAACAAAACAGATGCGATCGAGTGAGAATTTTTTTTTTTACTATTAAACTTTTTTCTAATATTAATATTAATTTAATTCTCTTATTAATAAATAATTCTTAATTAAGTAATAATATTAAAACTCTCAATAAATATTTTCATTTTGATAAATTTCTCTTTAAATTCATAGTTAATCCAAAGTTATCTAAACCAATAATAAACTTATTATGAATTAATACTATTTCAATATTAATTTAATAGCAATTCAGTACTTTTTAAAGCTCTAAAATTAATTTACAATTTTGTTTTCAAATTCAATTAGGCATTAACTATATCTATATTTAATTGGTTACTTTCTATATAATCAATTAATTATAAAATATACTTTTTAAATAAAAATATCATTTTTATTTTTATTTTATTTTATTTTATTTTTTTATTTTATTTTTTTTAAGTACAAACAGATATTAAATATAAAACATTTATTAAACATAATTTATTATCATTATATTAACAATCTTTAAGATATATAGAACTTAAATTAATTATAGCCTATTGCTCTTTAACATATCCAGCTATATGAAATTTTAAATATCAAGTAGATGATTCACATGCCAGATGGAACTTATATAGGAGATGAAAATCCTACCACTAATTTAAACTACCTAATCTACTAGGTCCAGTCTCGACTGCATTTGTTATGGGTAGGGTACATTATGAAATATTATTATAGAGATTAACTCCAGTATTCCAGTCACTGTTATTACCGATTCTCAGAATGTATCATTAGTATAATATAGCATTACCATTTTCACCACCTGTGGAAATGGCGTCCTTGCTTGAATTCTGATTTAATCTTGTAGATCCTTACTAGATGCACTTGGCTTAATGATTTTTGCTTAATATTCTCACCACTTGTGGCTAAGAATAGGTCTCTAAACTATTTAGCATATAAAATTTCGCAGATCAATTATGTTCCTTTTGAAGGGACATAATTATTTATTCATTACTTTAATAGGAACATAATTCAAAAAACACTTGAATCAAGTGTTCTAAATTGCAAAAAACCTTTGTAGGTGGTTTTTTTTTGACCTTATATTTAAAAAAAAACTTTTTTAATAGTAAGAAACATTTGAATTATGTCTTCACCTTTAATTTAAAAACACATCTTTACTTGTGAGTAATATCGTACCCTTTGGTCATATGATTAAGTTCTGTAGAATGCTATTATTGGAATAGATCTACAAGCTCTAGATTGAAATAGAACAGCTTAGAATTAATATCTTTTTTGGGATTGTGTGACATTGCCAGTTTTGATTAGAGTTTATAAGCTTATATTGGAGTTAGACCAGAAGCTTTTCCTTATACAACCTTTCTTATTTCGATCTGTTTTCAACCCATGAGACCAGAGGTCCTATCTTTATACAACCTAACTAGATTTGAAAGTTGATTTTTTTTTATTTTTTCAATTGATTAGATATAACATGAATTGGAAGCCGGTTAACCAATCATGAAGGTGATAAATTTTTTGTAACCAGGTGGGTTTGAACTATACATGTGACATAAATTATTTTGCTGTTGACTCAATTTTCAAAATCCTTAAAAATAATTGTGTCATGACTCAATTATTTATATGTTTTAATAGTGACTCAATTAATTGCATCAAATAATTGCATCAATTGCATCAAGGATCTATGAATTTCAGCAACATATATAGTTTGAACCTTAAACCTTCTCCTGATGATCTATAGATAATGATCCTAACAATTCTCTTCGATTTTGTATTTGATTCTTAAGTTTATATTAAATTTAATAGGTGGAGTATACCCTACCATCATTTTTAATAGTGTTCTGAATCTTATGTGATTCTGTTCAATTCTATTTGATTCCAATTTTCAGAACCATACTTATGGAGCATTACTACTGTACTATAGACCCATAGGTCTTTGTAATAATTTTATTATATTTAATTAAAAATCAATATATTTAAACTGTAATCTGATTAAAAATAAAATAATAATAATAAATACTTTGTTAAATTATAAATATATGTACTATTTTATTTTTATTATTTGAAAATTGATATTGCATGAATTGATAAAAAATCAAAAAATTTATAATTTTTATTATTATATGTATTAAACTTGATTTTGTTAATTCATATTTGCTTTAAACTTAATAAACTTTTATTGTTAGATTAAATCATAAAATTTGTAAAATTTTTTTTATAAAGTTGTATAAATTTAAGGTTTTAATTATGCCATTTCAGTTAACAATTAATTAATAATTTTATTATTAATATCTTACTTCAGAGTGCTAGTCTATAAAAGAGGTGCGAATACTTTAAGTAATTACGATGGATTGTTATTTTATATTGTTATTTCGTAAAGATTAATAGATAACGAATTTAAATTTTTTCAGAAATATTTTTCGATAATAATATTTTTTTTTGATTCAAAGGTATAAAAATACAGTAAGCCTGCACCTCCTAGTTTGCTAATTATGCTCGCAAACCCTTATATTGTACACAAGAAATATTAATTAGCTGTAAATAGTAAGTTAAGATTGTGTTTGTTTGACTTCATACTTAATATAAAATTGATTTTAAAGTTCTCATTGAGAATGATTGAATATCTTTTGGATTACAATATTTCAAGTTGACATGAATGCTTTCTTTTAAGTTATACTTCAAAGAAACCTTAAAGTAAGATTGATTGTGTAATCGCACAACTTTAATGTATAGCCAAATGAATCAATAATCACAATTATATCTCACTTGTGAAAAGATATAACTGGAAAATCGGTCAATCTGAGTTATCCGTATTGTTAGAATGGCGAGAAACAGGTTTCAGGAATTTTCGTTCAAATGATGTGTTGGTTGTAAAGTTCATATAGATTTTAGACTTGTACCACTAGGCATATCATATTAAAAAAAAAAATTCTTTATAGACCGCGACATATTTACATATTGACTTCATCAGTAGCCAATGTTTATGAGTTGTAAGATTTTATCGTTATTATAAATAAGGCAGATCATGGACTTTTGATCACTTGAAGGTTTTCCACCTATTTATTTGTCGCTAAGTATTAGCACCCCATCATATTTTATCATAAATTACTTTTGCAATGGCGGATTTCGTGAAGTTGTCAATTTTTGGAACCGTATTTGAAGTCACGACAAGGCATTTTTGGTCATTTTTTTTTTGTCAGTGTGGAATTTTGTGAAATTTAAGAAGTAGTTGATCTCATTGTTGCTCGTAATTTGTCGCAGATATGTAGATCTCCAACCAGTTGGAATGGGAGCATTCGGTTTAGTCTGGTGAGGCAGCTTGTACCTATTGTGGAAAAATTCAACGCGTCTTTTACTTTTCTCACTTATTTTTTGTTTCTTTTTAGTTCGGCAAAGGACCAACTGACTGGCACTAATGTAGCCATTAAGAAGATTATGAAACCATTCAGTACTCCCGTTCTATCAAAGAGAACTTACCGAGAATTAAAATTGTTGAAACACTTGAAGCACGAAAATGTATTTTCACCATTCAATTTTCGCAAGAGAATTAAACCGCATGTCACCCATTATCCATTCTGTTCATGCATATAGATCATCAGTTTGAGTGACATTTTTATTTCTCCGTTAGAAGATATGTATGTAAATTGCTGAACAGGTCCTGAAGTTGATCTTAACATCACTTAATTGACTTCTTGCAGATATTTTGTCACCGAATTGCTAGGAACCGACTTACATCGGTTGTTGACATCTCGCCCATTAGAAAAGCAATTTATTCAATATTTTTTGTATCAAATTTTGGTGAGTCTTTGGGTCCTGTTGACCGTTTGAATCTGCACGAGTTCTTATGAAACCTTTTTTTCAGAGAGGATTGAAATATGTCCATTCCGCCGGTGTGGTGCATAGGGATTTGGTTCGTTTACCGAGAATCATTTAAAGAAAAATTAAAATACAGAATTCTTAACATTTAAATAATTCCGTATCATAGAAACCTAGTAACATTTTGGTTAATGAGAACTGCGATTTAAAGGTAAAAGAATTATTTCTATCATGCAAGGAGTTGATGTACTTACTAAATTATCAATGAATGAAAATTTCATCTGATAAAAAAAATTAAGATTTGTGATTTCGGTCTAGCTCGTATTCAAGATCCTCAGATGACCGGATATGTCTCAACAAGATATTATAGGGCACCGGAAATCATGCTTACCTGGCAAAAGTATGATGTGGCAGGTAAAATCTTATCACCATACGTGACTACGCATTAAAAATGGTATAATTTCGACCTTATGAAAATTAATTATACTGATTTAAAATGAATTAAAGTGGACATTTGGAGCGCCGGTTGCATCTTTGCTGAGATGTTAGAGGGAAAACCTTTGTTCCCGGGCAAAGATCGTAAGAATTGTTTTAACGTCAAAGTACCTTAAATATATTTATATATCAAAATTTGTATTTACATATTTATTTGGATGCAGATGTTAATCAATTTTCAATTATCACCGAGTTACTTGGTACTCCACCTGACGATGTGATTGAAACCATTTGCAGCGAAAATGTACAAACATATCGGTTTTATTTCGTGTTTTATTAAGATAATCCAAGGTTAATGAATAATTTCATTCTTAGACTCTTCGATTTGTACAATCATTGCCAAAACGGGAGAAGATTCCGTTCTCCAAAAAGTTCATCAATGCCGAACCTGAGGGTAACTTTGTTAACGTAAAATTGTTGATGTGTTATTTACAGAACGATAAAGACCTTTAATATTTTACAAATACAAATTATTATTAGCATTGGATCTTCTTGAGAGAATGCTTGTGTTCGATCCAAGGAAACGAATTAATGCCGAGCAAGCTTTGGCTCATGAATATTTGTCACCTTATCATGATGAATCCGATGAACCAATCGCGGACGAAGTCTTTGATTGGTCTTTCAACGATGCTGACCTTCCCATCGATGAGTGGAAGATGATGATGTATCAAGAGATACTAGGTATTTACAAAGGGACAGACATCTTACTTCAAAGCAATTAATTTTGATTAACGCTACAACACAAAACCAAACTAATCGACTTGATCAAAACCATGATATCTCATTCAGATTTTCATAATGCTGATAGATACTTGGAAAATCCCGAGGCCAACACGAGATATGTTTAGTCCAATTGACACATGTAAGCAGTATATTAAAATAGTCCCTATATATTCATTCTATATTTTTCTGGAAACATACATTATATGTTAATCTTTATATAAATATTTGATATTACCTGTCACGTCTAATTTTTTAACACGAATGTATGGGGATATCTTGTAGGGCCCAGACTTTTTACTTCATGATATGTATATTATATCGACATCTAAATTATAATTACAGATTTTTTGATATCCGCCAAAGGTCGATTCAAAATCGTCATAAATATATTATTAAATTAATAAAGTGTTAACAAATGAAAAGCCGAAAGACAATGAATATTTGGTGATATCATCCAGTGACGCTTATACGAGTTTTTTGGCTTCGAAAAAGTTTTTCAAGTGTCGCATCTGCCATAGACAAGTAATACCGAGAACTATCATTTGAGCAATGGTCCAGTAGACCACACGAGAATTGGTAATTTCTGATTGATCTCGAAATTCGGCTTCGCGTTCCTGTGTAAAGTTGAGCGGATGTACCGTTTAGTATAAAATAATAGATGAACAGAATACTAGTGCTTTAAATGCTTCTATACATACGCGTTGATAACTTTGCTCTCTACGGATGTCAGCAACACGATTATTCAATTCGCGAACTCTTTGAGCGAGATCTGAACGAATGATCAAGATGAAAATTTAAGGAAAAAATCCCCTGAAACCACAGCCGATCAAAGAAAAAAGCACTATATTTGTTACCACTAAAATGTTCTTTATCATTCTCTTCTTCGCTGGTAGTTTCACCAATCACCATATCTAGATGCAATTTCTTTCGAATCAAAAAATCATAAAGATTAATTTAATCATCAGAGATAAAAGTAAAATAGGTAAAACCGCAAATGCAAATGTAAATATACCGTCTGGGTATTTGAAAACCATGTGGTCGAATTAGTCGATAAACAAATTGCGTGTTCTCCCGATTCTGCAGCAGTAAAAGTAAAACGACCGCGACTTGGACCCTTTTGATTTATTATACGATGACCTTGAGGTAATTCCTTTCGGAAACATGAACCGAGTGTGAATGATCGTTAACCAACAAGTATTACGTATCGCATAACACTCGGAAATTTTACCTCGACCGTTATTTGAATTCCAAGTTGCGGATTCTCAACAAATTGTTGTTGTGTTTCGGACCACTCTTCGGCTTTATAAGTACCTGTGTTTAAATTATTTACGCATTCTCTACGATTTAATCTTGCTTACTTCTGGATTAAACATCTCCAATAGTTTCTAGATTCCGCTCCGGGATAAGGTGTGTAAAATTCGGTATACTCACCGACAACTAGAGTATCCCTTGGTAATTCATCAATAAAACATTTTTGCTCACTACCTTCCAGGTAAAAATACAATCCCAGCCCCGGCTTTATCACCAGGGAAACGATTAAAAATAGGGCACACAAAGAAAATTGGATTCTCATGTTTTTTTTTTTTTAGTGAAGTAGAAGAAAAAAAAAGTTTTTTTTTTTAATATGAAACTGGTCAGTGTGGAACCAATCGTACTTCAATTATTGGCTGCTTAAAATTTCACGTGCTCAGCGGGTCAGTGAACCCAAAATTTTTATTCAATTTATTACTTTTATCGAAGCATTTACTCTATGATGCAAACTTTTTTTTTTGACCGTTCATAAACTGTTTGCGAGGGAATCCACGTTCTCATTGAAATACTACCAATTAGTGTATTTCAAAGGCACAACAATGCTCAAAAAAAAAAAAAAATAATAATGTAACATATATATACAATTCTAGCAGGCGGACAGTTGCATTAAATAAGAAGTTCAGTCAAACCAACGATCATCTTCGATTCAGACTCTGTTCCTTCGAATTAATTCTCGTTAACAAATTACTCATTGGCACGCGGTCTTTTTCCTATTAAAAAAAAAAAAATAATAATATAAAATAAGGTTTCACCATCGCTCGTTAGGACGGCGACGTGATGAAAATTCGTACTCCATTGGCCTTGCGAACTCTCTGTCACCATAGCCTCTTTCTCCTTCAGGTCGAGTGTTGAACGAACGATCTCGAGGCTCGTAACGCTCTTCACGAGACAAGTCATAGTAACCACCAGGACGAACCTGGTAATCCCTGTCAAACGACTCATCCCCGTACCATCCATTAGTTCCATTCATCCTGCGTGGGTGATCCTCAAAATTTGTTCGCAGATGGTAAACGGTAGGGGAACGGGAACGGGTTCGAGGCAGGGTTTGGGCTCGAAACGGGTTGCCCCGTTCTTCGTGTTTCTCACTATATCTAGAATAATAATCTTCATATGGTGCAAGAGACATTGAGCGTTGACAATATTTCTCACCAAATTCAATTCCCGAAGGACGTGAATAATACTTTTCACGATATTCAAGTCCCGAATTTCGTGAGTAATATCGATCATCAAATTCTCGAGAGTAATGTTTGCCAGGAGAAGCAGACCTTGTGTACTCACGAATGCCTCGTACATGATCACGCCTTGGACTCTGCGATCTACTTTTGTTCCGTTGATACCTCTCTAGCCTATGAAATTCTGAAGGTGAGTTATAGTCACTGCCGGGTGAAGTTAACGGCATCATGCGATCTCGTATTATCTTCTCCTTTGGCAACCTGTGAGGTGATCGACTTCTCCTTTCCATGAAGAAACGATTGTTAGAAGTACCTTCTGGTGAAATTGTGTTTGAAGACATGATGGATCTGTCTTCCAATGAGGGACTCTTTTTTTTTGACGTTATTATTCCATTTTCTTCCAATTTGATCTTAACAAGATGATCAAGACGTCCATTTTTCATAAATTTGTTCGAATCATTTGTGCCATTTACATTAATGTTTTGCTCGTTCTTTGGTGTTATAGTATTAAAGGGAAATTGTTTAACTGCAGAGCTAACCCAATTCGGTGGTTTGACAGTCGAATGAATCCCCAATTCTATTTGACTTTTTAGCAACTTTAGTTTATTGATAATTTCGATTGAAGTGTCACCATACTTTCGTTCATCTTTCTGAACCTCTTTTTTGTCTTTTTCACGGGATTCTCCATTAATTTGTTGACCACTCGAAGTATTACTTATCGAGTTACCCTGATTACTATTTTGTTGATCCCCTTGCGGCCTCTCCTGGAAAGGTGTTGGAACCTTTTCATTCAGAGATTGCGTAGAAAACAGTGACTTATTTGACGACAATATTTTCGTTTGTTCGTTTTGAGCATCATTGTTGAGTACCGAAGTCGATACTTGATGATCAACTTTTGAACTAGGCAAATTGTTGCAATCATTGCCAGTTTCGGGAATCGACTTTCCCGGAATTCCTGGGTGTTGTTGATCCACCTGAAATCCGGAAAGCGAAACGTGTGGGGGTTGTTGAACGGATACATTATTCCAATTCGGAATAAATGATTGAGTTGTTGACGAGTTGTCTGAGTTCGTCAGTGGAATTTGCGACTGTGGGAACTGTGCAAGCGGTTGAGGCTGTTGAAACAACATTGTCTGTGGAGAAGGCATTGGATGCGACCAAAGAGGGGACGGATGTTGTACCTGTTGCTGTGGCTGCTGATGTTGTGTCTGTTGTATGAGAGGCCATGTAGAACCTAGAGGTTGTGGAACCAAAGGCCTTAATGCTTGATTTACAAGCGATGGTGGAAGAGGCCCGATATTTTGAGGTCTAGCTGGTGGAACATTTAGTCCACTCAACTGAAGGGCCCCTGGGCCACCTATCTGTACGTTAGCTGGACCGAGTGGCACACCAGTCGGACCTATCTGGGGTCTATTTTGTCCTATCTGCATGCCACTGCCTTGACCACCATTGCTGCCTAATAGTATAGTTTCATTTCAATACAACTGGGCTCGTACCATTATTAAATAATTTAGCAACGTAGGTCAAGAACCATTTTACAAGGTTAATGTAGCGACAAGAACTACACTTTGGTTCAAAGTTTAAAGTCACACACATGGCTCGTTGCTCTTCCCTAGGGTTATGGTCACATACCTGGTAAGGTTATAGGATTTCTCTGTAAACTTGTACCACTTGACCTCTGTTGAGATTCTAAACTATTCTTAGACATCGCCGGCGGTCTACGTGCTGGAGGACTCTCACACCACTTACATCCGACACGACATCTCTCAGTGCAATCAAATTTTTTGTGTCCTACATATCCGCAATGATGACAACGCTGTGGATCCATTCTTCACAAAAGAGCTAAAGAAAAAAAACCGCAGTTCCAACTTTTTTTTTACCTACTGGTTTTTTTTAGAAGGGTATAGCGTATAACGAAGAGGAGTTCAGATGTTGAACAGGTCAATTATTGATGTTACACGTTTAGATTACGTAATCAGACAATCATTCATCGATGGGGTGATACTCGTTAAAGTTCAACGAACAGGACAATAAACTTATGAGACAAGCACATTTTTTAATATACAGTATTTATACAGCTAATATTAAAATTTTTGTACATGCATCTAAATAAATAAATGGAATGGGTTATTATTGTTCGAATGTTTATGAAAGGTATTAAAACCCGAGGTCCATCGTCCACGAATGAATGCATGGCTATGAAACAAAAAAATAAAATAATAATAAAAAATAAAAGAAAAAAAGGTGATGATAGATGAATCGCTTCAAGTGGTCTAGCCATTGAATCCCCAGATTTCGAGACCCATACATTCGAATTCCGAAGTTGAGGATAAGACATCATTATCAAAAGTGTCGCATCTTTCCGAATGTCCTCGCTGAAGATCACTGTCAATCAACAGTCCTACTTTACCATTGCTATTTTCCAAAAGAAAAAGGAAGTTAATGGAAAAAATTTTTTAAAAATAAAATTCACATTTTCATCGTTAAACTCATCACGCACCCTCCACCAATCGATAAATAATTATTTTCACTTAATATCATGTATTCATTCCTCCCGGTCCACAGGTAAATTTTGATCTCCGGTTTCGATGATATATTAGATTGGGGTTCTACGGATTTCCACAGGAAACTAATTAAGATCGCGTGAGAGTTTTGAAGTGAAGAAAAAACGACAATCATGAATAAAAACATCCCACATAGCATGTTCTACCCAGGAAACCCTATTGTAAATACCATTCGCCCGTGCCATAATAGGAAGGGTGTGGTCTAAACGGTTCCGTTACGAATGCGCCGAAGACCTATTTCATCGTGAAAGATACATGAGCAAAATGGATCACGCGAAGACAGCGCTTGAACGAATATATATTAACCTGATCATCCATATCTTTTATTGCCAATACCAAGGGACTCTTGTCTTTAACTTTATAATACAGAGTCGACATGCTTGTGCCGTCTTGATCAAGGCTGTATAACAAATTCCACCTGGGGGCATATCTCAGACGCCTTGAAAGCCTGGGACGAATCTAATTTATTGGCGCATATATAAAACCCGAAAACCCGAAAAAAAATTCAATTAGTGGAATAGTTCTACGACAACGCGTGACATCTTACGTGACCAAATACCAATAAATCGATTTGATCCGGCATGACCTACCGCATCGGCTATTTTTTCTGTTAAAACCGGGTCTGTATCATCATATCTTCCGACGAATTCAACTGGCTCCAACACATCCTGCTGTGGTAGCGAATGCGTTTCTTCTCTTGGAAGGGTCAAAGGATTGCCTGGCATTGATAGCTTATAATTTTCCCAATCTCCTTCGATGGTGCTGGTATAAATTGCTGAAACTAAAGAAGATGCACCAGATTTAATGGTCTTCGTTAACAAACTGATCGCGCTATCATTTTTATTTGGAACCATAGTAGGAACTACTCTCTGCGGTAACCTTTTAGATCTCCAAGGTAATGAGTTGAAATCTCTTGTGACTGAAGTCAAAGGGATACCAAAAAAATTCGGAGCGGACGATAAAGAGCTGTTGCAGAGAACTGGTGATTGATTCAGAGATATTGTATAATTATCGCGACCAATGATATCCCAAAATAGATCGGTTGAATTTCTAACTTTGATTTTACTACTTTTTGACCGCAGAGATTCTGAAGAATTTGGGGTTTGTTTTGAAAGCGCGTTAATCAAACGGGCTGTGGAAGAAATATCAGTTTCAGCGAAAAGTTTGGACATTATGGCAAAGCTAAATTCACCATTACAAAGCATGCGTAATATCTCACACCAGGTGACACAGAAGTTACACGGATAGACATTTATAGTTAACACTGGACAGTCGAGACGAAAAATCCCACGGATTCGTGTGTTGTCTCTGTCTCTAGCATAGGAAGAAAAACGAAGTTTTTATGTAGCGGTGGTTTTTTTCTCAAAACTTGACAACAAAAAATTTTTAATCCGACATATACATATATATATATACTTAATCCCCTCTGTGAATGTTACATGCGCTCAATACATACATAATTCACTAAATTGGGCTGAGAAAAAAGTTACCATGAAAAAACAATAGAAAAAAAAATTAATACAAATCAACTGATTTGTTATGTAATATTTACTATTCAAATAGTGACAAATAATAAAAACAATGGCATATGGTATGGTTCACGTACACATAAAACACAGTAAATAATCGATCACCGATCAAATCCTATTAATTTTTAAAATATAAAAAATATAACTTTTTTTTTTTAATAATTGCTCATTAATATATTTATCTATTATTACAAAATTAATTAATAACAAATCTTAAAAAAATATAGCGTATTTTATAAACTAAAAAGATCTTGAAAGTTATATATCGATCAATTTCAATACAATTCTTATTGGGTTGTGATCACGTGAAATTAGGTTCGGTTTATGTAGTTTGGAACTTGAACCAGAAACTTAACATTGAATATTTATTTATACATTAAGAATTATTTCTTTGAGATATGTTGTTTTATTAATGTGCCTGATATTAATAGTTTTTTAATTACAAAATAAATAAAATATTGTCAGAATCTTTGTTCAATCTCGCCTTCTTTTCTTTCGAAGCTTATTGTTATGTTTCTTTCTTCCGCTTTGTTTGACCTAGATTTTATTAACAATTATTAATTTTAATTTTTTCGAATACCTAATAAAATATAATATCAATCCTACCTCTTGAATTTCCAAGAATTTTCGTTTATAATACTTCTTAGCTTGATCATCCGCCATCAATTCATCAACAATAGTTTGTTTCCTTTCCTTACGAGGTAATCGAGAAGAATAAAATTCTGTTGGACCTTCGATAATCGTTCCCACCTTTTGTGAATACGATTCACAAAATAGATTAAATCATTTGCTTCGTAATGTTTTAATGTTATTTGAAATACATACCTGAAAGTATTTTGGAATAGTTTTGGAACTGTCTTTCTTATAAAACCGTTTGGGATCGAGAACATCCCTTAACTTTATCACCTGGAGATCGCGTTTCACCTCAGGTGTCAATTCCGGTTTTGGCATATCAAACCAGCCAGGACCTGCTGTTGCTTCACGAAGCTACAAAGAAAAATAAAAACTGTCCTATAATTACCATTCAAATTATGATCCCATTGGAAACAGTAAATCGAGTAATGTCTAAAACGAATCAGTGTAACTATGACTACTATGATAACCAACATATAGATGGAATTCCAAAACAGAATTCGCATTATCTGTTCTGGTAGCTAAACATATGTTATCATCATCTTCAATTTTATTTATCTAAACATGTTAAGTAATACCTTCCGCTTTTCTTTCTTGCTTAACTTTGAAGGTGTTTTTTCCAATTTCTCTGAGGTCTTTTTTTCAACAGAATTCTCTTTCGAGAAATCTGAAACCGCAACTTCTTCGTACTGAAGACTGGAAATACCGTCAAGATTTGTTTTTATATAGAGTTGATCATCAACACGAAATCCCGCGTTTAGCTCAGGAAATCTACAACACAAAAATTTATATTGATCATATATTTGCGTATAAATATATTATAAGAATGAAATAAAATATTATATACTAACGTTGAATGACGTTCGCCTTTGTCCTTATCGCTAATTCAATAACACAAAAGTGAAGAAATTTAGTCAAAACAGATTTAAGATAAAGAACAAATTAAGAACCGATACCTTAGTATTCTATTTTCAGTTCGTAAGGATTCTTCAGCCTTTTTCAACAAAATCTCTAGATCATCTTCATCGTGACCGTCAATTTCCGTATGTTTGAGCAAATTTTCAGTGACAGGCCCTTCGTGATTATCATGTTTTAAATTATCATTGTTATCATTTACTGCCTTATTCTCGTTGATCTCATTTTCCTAGTTGAACAGAGACGAAAAATCAGATAAGGAAGACTTGTAAACAATCAAAGAAACAGGATGGAAAAATATTCAAAGTAGTGATGGCGAAGAACAGGAGGAAAATTTTTTGCCTTAGACGAAATTATGACAGAAGAAAAAAATTTTTTCCTCGTCTGGCCTTCATTGTTTTGTGAATAATAATTAACCTTTTCTATGCTCGTTCTTCCCTCTCCGTCAGTCCGTGTGGTGTCAACAACTACTTTGGGGGTTTCGACAGTCGTGTTCTTTTTTCGTCGTGTGACTTTTTTTGATAGATCGTCAGTAGTTGTTAAGACAGTAACTTTATCTAGCGCACGAGTTTTTGAGCGAGTTTGCATGATTATCTTAATCTCGGTGATATGCGTAGCATATGTACATAAATATCACGTGGAAAATCCATTAAATAAGAGTTATCTTTCTGTTTTTTACTGCTGTTTTTGAAATCTAATGGTATGTATAAATGTTCCTTGTTGAGATTCCTCATAAGCAAGTAATATGTACCTCACTAACTACTGCTGCAGGCTGCCCAAAGTTCGCAAGGAATTCAAACTTTGCTAGAGGCCGAAAAAGGTGCCTCAAAAGTTGTTCAACAAGCCAGGAATTGTATGTTTATTAATTCAGTTTCTATTCGAAATCCAAAGTAATTTTATTCACTTTTTAATTTAAATAGACCGTGTTCAGCGTTTAAAAGATGCAAGAGTCGAAGCTGCGAAAGAAATTGAAGCATTAAAGGAGCAAAAAAACGTTGAATTTCAAGTCTTTGAAGCAGAGGCAAGAAACTGGCTTGTAACTTGTATCTAATTTCATAGATCAATTTAATTAACTTAAAACCATTTATAGCATTCCGGTTCATCAGATCAATCATCGGCCAGAGTCGCCGCCGAGACAGAATTAAAACTTTCCTCTATTCAGGAAGCTTTTTTAACAAAGAAAACTGTCGTAATAGAAAAGTTATTGACGGCTGTGACAACTGTTCAACCACAACTTCATCGAAATGTGAGAGTTGGTTAAACCGAGAGATGAAAATTTGAAAAATCTAACAACATTGAGTTTAGATATCTCGTTCTTATTTTTTTCCTAATTGCATTCATTTTTCGCATTCTATTTATAAGTTTCATTTTGAAAATAAACACCGATTTCAGAGAAAAACAAAGCCTTAAATCCGGAAACAAATAAACTTTCTATTACATCATACATTTTATTATATAACAGCCACATTTCAAATGTATCAGATAATTTTATAAAACTTGATATTGTGAATAAAAAATAATATAATGCAGCTTTGTTATTAAAAATTCAACCTATTGAAATATATTGTATTATAACAATTTTTTATTAAAATATTGTTTTTCATCAATAACAAAAAAAATTATATCTTGTAAATAATATTATTATTTAAAAAAATACTTGATACTTAATTGAATAAACATATAATATGAATGAAATTATATTTTAATTAAAGCTATCATTTACCTTATATTAAGATTATATTTAATTATTGTTTACAAAGAATATCTATTTTGTAAGAAAAATTTATCAATGCTAAAATAATAAATCAAATACTATTTTTTAGATTTAAATCACAATTTTACAAATAAAATATACAGCGTATTATAAAATTAAGTTTTTAATATTTTTAATTTTAATTTTTCTTAAAATTTTCAAATATTTTATCTAAAAATATCCTTGCTGATAAATTATATATAATGATTGATGGGTTTATTATTAAACATACCATTAAGTATTTGTAAAAAATTACAATAAAACAAATTAAAAAATGTATTATATGACTAGATTAAATAAAAAACTTTTTAAATTATTATATTAAAAATACAACGATATTTTTTTAAAACTAAATTACCAAACCGAATGATCTCATGCAAATTGTTTGTTCATTTCATCTTATAGATGTGGTATCGAAATTAACTTTCATTGAACCCCAATTTACGCAATAGTTGCACTACTAGTTTCATAAACTCTGTATATTGCTCCTCGGGAATCTCTTCATCACTAAATCTTGCTCTTTCATAACCTTCAACGTAGGCATGCCCTAAATTACGGTCAATGGCTTTATTTTCTATTAAAAAATCAATAAATCTTTGCGCAGACATTGAAGGTTGACGCTTAAGATGAGAATGCTCATAAGCATTTTTTTCTTTATAAAAAAAAATTGGTTATTAGCAACGTTTAAAATTTTAGTATAAATGCTAATTAACTAACCTATCAATGTGAGCGTATCCACTATCGATATTTTGAAGTTTATGTTGTCAAGAGAGGTGCCTAAATAAAGAAGGTTTAAAATATTTATTTAAATATAAATATATATATATGGAATCCTAAAACTAACCTGGTCGACCCCATCCCGGCTGACCGCCATCTTCGGGTTTTGGTTCACTTTCCAGGGAAATCATTGATACTCGTATCAGCTCAGACATAATGAGATTATGCACAGACTAAATAATACAAAAATACCGTCATCAATATATATAAAACTTGGTCTTGCCATTATTAATTACTTTTGGCAAAATCTTTTTACTAATAGGCAATTTCGATTTTGGTATGTCCAGCAACGCTTTCTTAACGGTTATCAGACGCCTTAAACCAATCAACACGGCAGAAAAACACTTAATTGAATTTTAAAGCAAGATGAGTTTTTTTTTTTGCAAGCGTGTTAGAGATGTAGATATTGAAACTTACCATTAAAAAGTAGCTGCCGCTAGCTACTATTACATGAAAATGACTTGTATCAGAACTTATCCCACGCCATATTATATCATAAGCAGAAAGTCCTATAGCTGCTATGGTGAGAAGCAAGAGAATAAACAATGATATAGTGTATAAACAATTTCGAACTTGATTCATCTATTATAAACCAGTAATAAATATCAAAATTTTATCCGGCTTTTATGCGTTAAATTTTCCACAGATTAAATATAGTCCCACAATCACGTGAGTCATGTAATAAATCAAATATAATATAGTAATGTAAAAGATATTAATTAAATCCAAATAGTCTTAGTTGGGATTGGACTAACTGACCGAGTTAGGTGAATTGGTCTGGATCGAAAAAATAGAATCATTAGAATCTAATTTCTAATTCAAATAATTCCAGCTATTTTATATCAAATGCTAAATGGTTTTATACAATAATGTTTTCTATTTAAAATTAAATAAATATAACAAATACTTGTTTAATATAAATAAATAATATTAAAATATTAAATAAAAAGAATAGTTTTCAAATTGTTAATTAAAAGTTTAAATTAATTAATTAATATTTAAGATTTTTAATTACGTATATCTAGTTAATTATATTTAATATAACATTAATTAAAAATATTAATTATAATTTTATACTTTTATGAATGATAAAACAAATAACAAAAATATAATATTAATAAATATTCTTTTGATTGCATTTGTTTTGTTTAAAAATTTTTATTTATAATAATTTTAATTAAAAAAAATTTTTTTTTATTATTATAAATAAGTCTTAGTTCAAAAACTTAAAATACTAAAAACAATTAATATTATAAATAGAATCTTTAATTAAAGTTTATTTAAATTTAAAAGTTTTGTTTATTTATTTTTTTTTTTTTGAAAAAAAAAAGCAATTATTATATTTTAACTTTATTACAATTTTCATTTAAAATATAAGATTTACAATATGTTTAGTATAATATATATCTCTTTTTATTAAAAAAAAATTTAATATAAGATTCACTATTATGATACATTTTTTATATTCCTTGATATTACTTAAAAATATAAGAAAAAAAATTCAAAACTTATATTATACTTTAAGTATTATCTAGTTACCTAAAAACAATTGATTATCTAATCATATAAAAATATTGCAGTTATTTTATATAGATTGGTTTTCAAATTATAATTAAAATTGACATATGTATTTATTTTTTAAATATAATTTGATATATAATAAGTAAAATATTGTTATTTTAAACTTTAATTAAATAACTTTATTAAATATTTAAATAATTTCTCTTTTAACTAAATATTATTAGTAAAAATTAATATTTTATTTAATATACCTAAAATCAACTTTTTAATATTTTCTAAAATTGTTTTAAATTAATCAAACTTGAATTAAATTAAAAAAAAAATAGCTGTATTCTACAAAGTATATTATATATAAAACCATATTATTTAAATATTTAAGTAAAATCCAATTCAAATATAAAGTTAAAAATTACAATAGTTCAATTCAAATTAGTTTTAACTAAAACTAAAACTATTTTGTTTTATTTTTTTAAACTGATTTAATTTAAAAACTGACAATCTTAATTTTTTGTAAACTAACTCAATTTAAAAATCATCAGTTTTAATTTTTTATAAATCAAATTGAAACTAATATAGTTTATATTTTTAAAAATAAAAAATAAATTTAAACAATATTAATTAATTTATTATATAATAAAATATTAAATTTATTGTCAGATATAATTATTTTTTTTTAAATTAAAATATTCATCAATATAATATATTTTATCTAATAAAATTTGATTATTCTAATTTTTTTTATTAAATCTTTAAATATCTATAATACAAATAAATTTTATTGCAATTGATTATATTTTCATTACCTTCTTTTTTTTTTTATTGCAGTTATAATTTTTTAATCAAGTTTTAAAATAAATTATATATTACTTTTTTCTGTTAATAAAACAGTTGTCTTATATAACTTATGTTCTAACTAGCAAAAAAGATTATCTTTTATTTTAAAAATATTAAATTTTTTAAATAATTATTGTTATTTTTAAAAACATTTGTTGTTTTTATTTTTATTTCTATTTAGTTATAAAAATTGATTCTATTAAAATTTTTTTCTTGATATATAAATTTCAAATTATTGAAAAATCATATCTCTTAGATAAATTATTACAATTATTATTATTATTTTTTTTTTGTAATCAAATAAATATTTATAAAGTTTATTTAATTTTAATATAAAATATATATTTGTTTTTTTTTTTTTTTTTTTTCGTAATCAAACAAGTATTTTGAGAGTTTATTTAATCTTAATAAAGAATACATATTGGTTTAACAACTTTTATGTACAAACTTTTTATATATAATACTTGAATACCTACCTTAAATAAAGATATCTCTAGATATGATCTTGGAGATAAATAAAGTTGCTCATTCTCATATACTTGCTTTGAAGTATGTTTGAAATCATTGCCTGCAGTTCATCACTAGTTTGTCTTTTCAAAATCTTGATTACGTTTTATATTCCTAACCACCTTTTTCCTTCCTTGATCTTGTTCCATAGGATTTCTTTAAGTTTCTCAGTCAGTTTTTTTTTTTCTATTCCATCACCTGAAGGGCTTGCTTGGTTGGTTTCGTTTTTGCTGGAGCTTGATGATGCTGAGGAGTGGTTCTTAAGTGGATTCGTCTCTTTCTCTTGTGGGCTACTTTTTTTATTTTTTTGGTGAGGGCTTATAGGTTTTTGCTATTTTGGAGATATTGCTGACTCTGACTCTTTCTCTTTCTCTTTTCCTGTTTCGAGTTTCAGAAACCATTTATATTCTTGTACTTTTTCACATCTTGGATTCCATATATGTTGCCTGAGAAACTTGCACCATGTCTTGGATGTTTTTCTTAGCAGGTTACATGCTTTAGTACGGGAAATCTTTACGGTTTGAAGATGTGTTTTTCAATCTGAGACATCTTTCTTTTTCTATAATTTAATACTCAAATTGATTATTTCTTTAGCAGATTCTACACTTCTTCTTTTCTATTATTCTAATAATTGAATGATTTTTTTCTGTTTTAACGTGTTTGCAGTTAAGTACTTGAAAATTCATGTTTTAGTAATCTTTTCTTATAAGAGCATCCACATTTTTTCTCTATGAGCCCTAGTTTTTTTGCATGTTAACAAATGATCTAGTGTTTCTTTTTCTACTTCGCAAAATATGTATCTTGTATGTCTGTTGTAGCTTGTCTCTTTGCATTTGGATATGTTGTCTAGTGTAGAAAGTTCATTGTGAATAAGTTTGATCTTGAACGTCCTGTCTTTCATTTGCTTGAATGAAATGTAGAGAGTATCTTTCTCTTTGCAGTTTTTCCAGAATTCTTTCCAATCGGTTTCTTCTGGATTTTGGATCTTCTCCTTCCATCTGGCTTGAATTTTGTTTTGATTAGTCCATTGCATCAGTATTTTCCTCTTGTGTAGATCTTTAATAAACGATTTTATCAATGTATCTATTGGAATGTTGTTCCAGAAGAAAGTTGAGATTGGAAATGATTTGTGTAATTCTTTCCAGACGATTGCTTGCTCTTTTTTAGCTGTCTTGACCAGTCGGTCAACTTGGTTGTTGGCTGTGTCTTGATCATGTGCTTTGACTTTAACTAGTATTACTTGGATTTCTTTTTTAGATATTGTGTTTAACATTCATATCCAGAGTTGCCAATTGGGAATTTTCATCTTTCTTCTGATGATGTTTTTTGGATGGGAGTTGTTTAGCTTTTGATACATGTTAATGCAATTGGCACTGTCTGTTCAGATTTCCACTTTGCTTTTATTTGATACTACGAGAATTGCCAAGAAGATTGCTGTGAGTTCTGCTTTTGCTGGTGATGGCCAATTGTCTATTCCAGTTTGAAAGGTTCTTCCTGGATAGGGTTCCTTGGTTTGAAGCCAAGCTGCACCTATCTTTACCATTAGATCTCAGGTTTTGTCTACTGATCTATCAGTGTAGAATTAATATGTTCCTTGGTACTGACTATTCTTGTTAAGCTTGTATTCTGTGCTTAGTTCTTGACTGAGTTCTAGGGTTTCGATATTTTCTTGTATGAGTTGGATACCGTAGTCTATTATTTCAACACCAATGAGTTTGGATGTGCTGGGAGCTGGATCTGTTCTGAGTGGAAAGTTTGATTTGGCTAGGCTTTCCAGTACATGAGTTTCTATGGGAATACATGGTTTTTTACTCTTTCTCAGTTTGGAGATCTTGTTAATCCAGTTAAATGATAGTGATGGTCCTTTTCTGGATGTGCCTATTGAACTTGAGGTTGCTTGGATGAGCTTTGTTGAACTGGTACTTGTATTGCTCACTTGGTACATTTTCTTTTCTTGTCTTATAGAATTTTTGATCCCCTTGCATTTGTACCAAGTAAGTTCATTTGTTTCTTTTAGTTGTACTCGCCATTCCCATTTTCTTGCATCTTGTTGAAATGAGTGAATGAAAATGTCTCTGTCTTGATTTGTCCATTCTCTGTTTTGCCACTCTTGCTTAAGAACTCCATACTCATTGGCAATAAGTATTTGGACTTTCTTGTATCAATAAGGTTTGGGTCTTCTATTATGACTGTGTAAAGATTGTATGAGTTTCCAATCTAGGAGGGTGTTAGTTTCTGCTTTTACGAGTTGGTCAACAAACATTATGTTGTGTTTTCTCATAGATCGGACTGCACATTTGTATATTGATTAATCATTCAGTAATGTTTTTATTGGATGAGCTCCTCCTTTCCACTGAAATTTATCTTTCCAATGTGAATCAGGATATGTTATCCCTATACTGTTTGCTGCTTTTAGTATCATTGCTAATAAGTTGTTTTTTGCTTGCTTCTGTATTGTTGATTCTGCAAGTATATTGATTGATTCCCATTGTTGAATTTGGGCTTGTTTAAAGCATATAATCATTGAGATACTAGGGTGTCCATAGCCATTAAGCAGATTGGTGAAGTTGGAAACTTGGTTCTCTAGCTGTATTTCACTGATACTTTTTAATCTGTATAGTGATTTGTGATAAATGATTGAATTGAGTATTGTTTT